AAGCATTCCTCCACTTCAACCAACCAACTTGAATTCTACTATTAACATCCCCATCAATATCACCATCAATTTGAACAACATAGCAGAGATATTTAAATCGTTCACCCATTTTAATATTTTGATCGCCCAAAGTTATACTTCTGTCACAAGAGCTACTACTACTAAAATTACATGTCATGTATTCAGTTTTAGTTCCACTCAAATGAAGGCCTTTAGACTCCAATGTAGACCTTCATAATTCAAGTTTTTCCTAGGTTTTTTCTCTCGTCTTATCCACGAGAAGGATATCATCAACAAAAAAAATAAACCAAGGTAGCTCCTGTAAAATAAACCAAGGTAGAGCCTACTGAAAATGTCCAGTGAGACCATCCATAACTAAAGCAAAAGAGATATGGGCTTAAAGCAATAGGAAAATATTTGGCCAATCCTCCTTCAGTTTGAACTCAACTAACAGCTCTAGTATACATATCATTAATGACTTGAATATAAGTAATATCAACATCTTTCTTCTCAGGAACTCTCCAAAAGATATCTTTTCGAACCTTACCATAAGTTTTTTCTAAATCAATAAAAATCAAATGTAGATCATCCTTATTATCTTTGAACTTCTCCATCAAACCTCTCAATATATGTATAGCTTCCATAGTAGACTTGCCCGGCATAAATCCAAATTGATTATGACAAATCTTTGTAATAGATCTTAACCTATGTTCAATTACCCTCTCCCATAATCTTAAAGTATGACACATCAACTTAATTCCTCTATAATTTGCACACGCTTGTGTATCCACCATATTCTTAAAAATGGGACCAAAATACTCTTCCTCCGAAATCTTTACAATCTCGACGATCTCTTATTCTCATAAGAAAATAATCAATTTGTGTTTTATTAGACCCATTCTTATAAATAATAAGATGATCATCTCTTTTCTTCAATAAAGTATTAGTAATAATAAAATCATACGTTAAAACAGAATCTAAAATGGTTCTACAGTCTTCATTAGTCACTCCAAAACCGTAGTCATCATGAATATTTCTGAAATCTTCTAACACTCTACCGACGTGTCCATTTAAATCTCCTCCAATAAAATTTATTTCTTCAAGAGGTATCATTTGTATTAAATCTTCTAATTCATTCCGGAATTTATCTTTAGACCATATATCTAAACCTACTTGAGGTGCATAAGCACTTATAATATTAAAAATCTTTGTATCAATAATAATCTTAAGGGTTATAATTCTATCTCCAACTCTTTTAATTTTTACAATATTATCTTTCAAACTCTTATCTATAATTACACCTACACCATTTTTAATTTGACTCTTCCTAGAATACCAAACTTTAAAACATAAGTTATCAATCTCCTTAGCATTTTCTCCAACCCATTTAGTCTCTTGAATACATAAGATATTAATACTTCTATGCATCATAATATCAACTAATTCCATTAATTTACCATTGAGAGTACCTATATTCCAAAATCATATTCTAATATTAGTTTCATTAGTTTCATGGACTAACTTCTTTACCCGCATATGTTCGTAATGTGGGAACCCTTGCTTATTTGACACTACACTCGGACACCGGTGTAGCGACCCTTACACACTTTTCACTGTATTCAGGTCATACAGCGCGTCGGTTCTAGAGGACGCCCTAGCACTTACACAATGTTCAAAAAAATTCATGTCATGATTTTATTTTGACAATTTTTACGCCGACAGATGACTAACTAACGCAACTCTTCACTTTTTCACATCCGGGCTTGAGACCGGCAATGACAATGTTATAGTCAAAAATGTCAATATTGAAGAAAAATAAGACGTCATGAACCCTATTTTAGATTAGAAAATAAGAATAGGAAGAAAGACATCAGAAAATAGACGAATTTCCTAGAAAAGAATAATAAAATAATTGTAATGCCTAAAGAAAAAAGTTATGAGATGTAAGTTAATTTATATTAGAATAAAAAGCTGATGGGAGCATAAAAGTGGTTGGCATGTCATGAGATTGTTATAAAAACAAACACACGATTGAATTGCAAGGGACGCCTGATGCGTATAATGGTTAAAAAGATGTCAGGAACTATGACTTTTTATTGATTTTATGGTTGTTATCATGCAATCCTAGACAATTAATAGTTGAAAATTATAAATGTTGCAATACAATCAAATACTAGTCTTTCTAGGATGTTCTTTGCTACAAGAGAACTTGTATGTGTCTGATGATGTGCAAATTCTTGTTAACAACCATTTTTACACAATATTGTTAAACTTTATGGAATGTATCAAGAGGTTGGCATGTCATGAGATTGTTATAAAAGCAAACACACAAATGAAGTTTGCATTAGAATAAAAAACTGATGGGAGCATAAAAGATATAAATACATCTTGTAACAAAAGGTTATACCCAAACCAAAAGGGTAGACAACTAGAAAATAATTGTTCCTATCGCTAAAATAAATATGATTTGTATCTTTATCTCCAAGGCTAAACAACTCCTTTTCAAAAAAAAAAGGTAATCAAACCAAAGAAAGATACTATATTGGTTCAAACAATCTCCAAGGGTGTTCTTTGATAATTTCATAAATCCATAAGTGGAATAGGATAAAGTGAAAGCTAAAAAATGGTATAATCTTTATTGAACACTCATTGAAGGAAAAGTGAAAATTATCATTGTTTATGTTGATGATATAATTATATCCGCTGAAGAAAAAAATCAATAAAAAAGAAATTGCTACAACATTTGAGATTAAAGAACTCGGCAAATTTAAGTGCATACATCATCAGCACAAGTGGCTCAAAAAAAAAAAAGAATATTTATCTCAACAAAAATATGTTAAGAACCTCTTATGAAAAATGAATATGATAGACTAAAAGTTGTGTGAAGTCAGAAACTAGATGTTAATGAAAAAGGAATCAACATTGACAAAGGATGATATCATAGATTAATTGGAAAACTAGTTTGCCTATCACATACTCATCTAGAACTTGCATTTGTGATAAGTCTCGTAAGTTAATTAATACAAAAACCAATAGAAACTCGCCTTCAAGCTGCTCATAGAATCCTCATGTATTAAAAGTCTAATTTGAAAAAGAAATTCTCCTTAAAAGACATGAAATTCTGAAACTAGAAGGTTATAGTAATGTTGAATATGTGTTATTATTGGTGATAGAATATTAAGTTTATGTTATTACATGTTACTTAGAGAAAGTATAACAGTATGGCGGCTGTGGCTCCTTGATCAAGTGTAGAATTAGAGTTTAAAGCAGCTGCCCAAGACATCTGTAAATTTCTATGGTTAAAAATGATACTAAACTAAATGATCTAAAGATTAAAAAGAGATGTCCTATAATATTATATTATGAGAAATAATATATATATATATATATATATATATACATTGTCTATGATCCAATACAATATGACTGAAGATAAGATGGAAAAAGATTTCACCAAAAAGCTCAAAAGTCGGATGATTTATCCTTTTTATATTCCTTCAGGAAATCAACTTGATAATATATTCACTAAAAATCTTCACAATATTGCATTTAAAAAAAAATTTTGAACAAATTTTGAAAAGTAGAGCTCTAATATCCCATTTGAAAGGGAGGGTTGGAGAACACCATCTGTAGCCAAGATAATAAAAGGCAGCACACAACTTTAGAAACTAGTTTAAGAAAAAAAATTATAGATAATTGCATGCAAGTGATGATTATGAAGCCATGATTGGTGGTCAAACTAGTTGTAATTGGTGGACAACATGGTAAAGAGAAGGCCCACAAATACATGGGAAAAGGCAAGAATAGGCAAACAGGAAAAAATGTTCATCTAAACCACACGGATTAAATTTGATTTAGAAAACATTTTATATTGTAATTAGTAAGTCTTTGTAAGTATGTATAGAAAATTCTATCTATGGGTAAACTTTGAATGATGATAATAAAATCAAACTTCTATCATTCACCTATTTTCTACAAAACACCTTTTTTAAAAAAACTTATGCTTTTGTTATTCCTTGATTTTATAATAGGCTTATATGGTCCATGAATAAGAATCCTTTAAAATATATAAAACCATGGAATCAAATTTAAACTGTGCCCAGAAAAAAAAAACAAAAAAAGACAAATTCCGACAACTGAAGGCAAGAATCACAAATTTTAAAAGCCCAGCTGATCTTCAGATAACAGCAAGATATGCATCACAGACCATGAAAGAAAAAAGAGATAAAGTAAGAGTTTCTTACACTCCAGATCTCCATGAAAGAACCATGTTCTTGTAGCAGGCAATTTCAAACCGCATGCCATGTTTCTTAAGGCGGACGATGGCAACGTTCGTCAGCCTCTTCTGCCCAACGGGCTGAACCAAGGTCCTCGACATTTCCCTTACGTGCTGTTTGGTAGCAGGATTTGAGCAGGATTTAACCTAATTTTAACCTAAATACTGTCAAACAGCAAAATTGACAACTTTAATCCTACAGGATGTTAAATCCCGTTTTGCGTCCGTTTGCCTTAAATCTGGTAGGAAGGTGGATTCATGAAAGTTGGAGGGGCTGAAGCGCGCGAAGAGTGCAGAAGGGGAAGGAAGTGACAGACGAGGTTTACTCGGGCAGGCGCGGAGTGCAAAGAAAATCTCGTTGCTCGTAAAAATAAAAAATTGTTTTTCTTTTTTTTTTTTTTTAGTTCTCTAACCGGTCGGAGGGAAAAGATTTGCATACTCTGCATATATAATGGATGTTACATGGGTGTTATATCGGTATTATAATTATATTATATCTCTTGTATTTTTCATATAACTTTCATGTAACATATAAATATGTGAAAACAGAAGCGCAAAATTTATTTTTAAGTTCAAGTAGATTATAGATAGGTTATATAAAGGTTATATGGAGGTTACAAGGGATATAACGCGAATATAATGACGATATAACGCTCATATAACATCTATTATGTACCCAGCGCTGCATACGTTTTACGTACGCAAATTTTTTTTTGTCCGAGCCAAGTGCGGATGAACGAAAATATTTTTTGTCACGTGAATCAGCCCAAATCAGCTCATGGCTTCGAAAACAAAATCCTTCTCTATGAAAAAATATTATGTGAAAATACTTCTGCGAGTCTTTTCAATCAATATTTTCTTCATTTGTCATTAGCTAGGGTTCTGCATTGCGTGACTCCGATAATTATAGTTTTGTTCGTTTGAAACCATTTGAGCTGTCGTTCACCCGTCGACATAGAATCGAAGTCCTGTTTTATTGATGACCACGACTTTATAAATGCTTAAAAATACAAGATAAATATGAACGTAATAAATATTCAATAATTGTAAAGTCACACTTATCAACACAAATATATGTATCGCTCAAGTAATATATGGCTCTAATAGAGTCCTAGATATCGATCCCACAAGGAGTGGTTTATAACTGCAAACTAAGATTTTAGAAAAGCAAAACTTTAATCACAACAACGAAGTTCAATTTGGTTATCTGTCACTAATAGTCAATTGAAATAAATATGTAAATTTAATAACTATTAAATAACTAATGATACTAAGGAGGGTCTAATTGTGATATTCAATATATAAGAAAACATCATTCTCCTTGTCAAGAAATTACAGTGGATGGATAAAGTGAATTAGTTCAATTTATATTGTGTCAAATAGGAGCATACATATTTTTTACCCTTTGGTCCAGGCATAAAGAACATTGACTAATCATATGCTTGTTCACTGAATCTGCGGCTAGGCTGAGAGGATACCGACTCTCACTTCGGAGCTCCCACGTTCCCCTCACCTGAGGG